TCTTGTTGTGAAACTCACATAATCAGCCAGTCCTTCTAATAAATTATTCTCTTCCTATAGGCCTCTGGTTCTTATTTTAAGATTAAAGACCTTGAAATATATTAAGTGAGCCTCCCCCTCCCAAAAGTAAAAGCAGATCATGCAGTAGATTACCTGAAAAGCTACACCATAGCTAGAATGTCAATTTGCTGTTGCATTGAACACTGGCTGCAGAGCCTCCGTGCCAACGTCTGTGTAGCACGGGCTCTCTCTCTTGGGTCGCCCTTGCTGCATGACCGTCGGAAGGTGGTGCTAGCGAGCACGGGCCATGTGGATGAGTCAGATGGTTACTTGGGACCGAGTCACGTCACGGGAGCGGCTTACACTGGATGTCCAGTACTTGAAATCCCTGACTATGGGTGGCCTCGGGACAAGTCATCTTTCCGTATTTTCACGTTTCCTGTTGTAGCTGCTGGGCACGCCTCTGCTGGATTTGAGAATATAGTTCATGAAACCGCTGCCAAAGCTGCCTGAAAACTTTGGCATTTCTCGGCCCTTTGTGTTATGTATTGATTTAAAGTTTTTATTCTCAGAGAGCAAGCTTTCTTTATTTAAATTCTTGAAATGGCTCCATGTACTTGTCATCTTATTTTAGAAGAAATTCAGGTTCAGGGAGAAGCTAATTATCAGGTCGCATTGATAACAAATGCTTCGGTGAAACTTTAAGCCCAGGTTTTCTGAATCCAAATTCAGCATATTTTCAGAAAAGCCTTCAGACTGTCTTTTTCGGTGAATCTTGTTTTATGAGGAGGGGGACTCATGGTTGAATGGGGAGCACTGTCAATTTGAACATTAGTACAGAATTTTTAAAATGCATTGTATTCATTCAGTAAAGATTATCAACTGCAGGGGTCTGAGGAAGTGCTCCAGTAGCATAATTTCACATACGATTAACTTAATAATAAATACATTAATAATTCTCTCAGAAGAAAAAGATGTCATAGATTCCATGTTAAGTAATAGATTATTATTAATAATGATGGTATTATAACTTGAGAAAAGCTACATGTTGTGGGTTCTCAATTTTCTTACAAACATCTTTTTGTGATTTTAGGTGCATTCTTAATTAAAATTCATCTCCATCCCTGCCAGTGGGTGAATGAGTATCCTTGACTTGGGCATACGTTTGTCAGTTACTCTCTGATACACAAAGGATTTTTTTTGTGAGACAGTCTCATTCTGTTGCCCAGGCTGGAGTGCAGTGGTGTGATCTCGGCTCACTGCAACCTCCGCCTCCACGTTCAATTATCCTGCCTCAGCCTCCTGAGTAGCTGCAGGGACTACAGATGTGCACCACAACATCTGGCTAATATTTTGTATTTTTGTGAGACAGGGTCTTGCCCACGTTGCCCAGAAGCTGGTCGAACTCCTGGCCTCAAGTGATTCAACTGCCTCAGCCTCCCAAAGTGTTGGGATTATAGGCATGAGCCATTGTGCTGTGGCCCATAAAGGATTTTTAATATTAAAGCTTGGCACTCGTGATTCAGCCTAAATTGTGATGGAAAATTAATGGAGCAGGTTACGCCACCTAACCCTACCCAGAAAGGTTGTTGAGCTCCAGCTTGGGGGCAGAGTTGTATTTGTCAGGAACACATTAGTAAATCCATTTATGGCTTTTGCCTTTTTCACCTGGTGGTGCGTGTGGAGCTTTTCCTCGTCAGCAGTGTATAGACCTTGTCAGTGTTTGGAATTGCTGCATGAAGATATAGAATGCTGATCTACTTAACCCTGTCAAAAGCGCAAGTGCAATTCTGCAGTAAATGTTCTTACACAGGTGCCTTTGAGTCTATATGTGAGCCTTTCTCTCTGAGGTAAGATAGCTAGAAAGAAGTAAGATAGGGCACATTCTCCTCTACATTTAAGGATAGAGCTACAAATAAATTGTTTAATTTTATTCAGAAGCTTTACTGTTAAGACTAATATTTCTTTCAAAGTATTTCATATAAACAATTATTTCATATGGAGTATATATATAGTCAGGTAAAACAAAAAGAACAAATGTTATTGTTGGTCAGAGACAAATTTAAGTGTAAATGAAGAGATACATGAGTACAAGATAAAGTTAAATCAAATTCTGTAAGATCAATTTTAAATTGAAAATTATTTGAAATTCATGATTCTTTTTTTGAAATATGTGGACTTACTACATCCCAGTCTTTAAAAAATCCAAAAAAACAATTGCATTTTTCCATCATGTAGGCACCCCATATGCCTGCTGACTCCAGGTGTGGGCGAGATGAGCCTGGAACCTCTGTTATCTGTTGTATCAGCGGCACATCCAAGAAATGTGGTGGGCACCATCCCTAACAAACTCTGAGGCCAGAAGAAGGGGTTCCCACTGGCTAAAAGTGAGACACGCTGAACATCAAAAGAATATGGCTGATACAAACCCACTGTGGTGGGCAGAATGATGCCCCCCTGAAATATCCACATCTTAATCCCCAGAACCTATGAACATGTTCTATTCTATGACAAGGGGGCGTTAGGGGTGTAGGTGGCATCACAGCAGCTAAGCTGCTGAGTTTAGATAGAGATGATCCTGGATTATCTAGGTGGGCCCTAGTGTTACCCCGAGGGGGGCGGGGAGTTGGTGTCAGAGCAATGTAACATGAGTGAATCAACCAATCACTGCTGGCCTTTTGAGGAGGAAGGAGGAAGGGCCATGGACCGAGGAGATGTGGGCAGCCTGTAGAATCTGGAAAAGGCAAGGAAATGGCCTGTCTCTTACGGCCTCCATGTAAGACCGCAACCCTACACACGCTCTGACCTCAACCCAGGAGGCCCATTTCAGTTACTGACCTGCAGATCTGTAGAAATTAATTTCTGCTTGATTTAAGCCACAAGTTTGTGGTTAAGCAGGAGAATTGCTTGAACCCAGGAGGTGGAGGTTGCAGTGAGCAGGATGGTGGCACTGCTTCCAGCCTGGAGTGACTGAGCAAGACTCCATCTCAAAAAAAAGTTGCTTTTTTTTTAAATAAAAAATAAGGGCTGGGCGTGGTGGCATACACCTGTAATTCCAGCACTTTGGGAGGCCGAGGCGGGTGGATCACGAGGTCAGGAGTTCAATTATCTTTGACCAACTTGGTGAAACCATGTCTCTACTAAAAATATAAAATTAGCTGAGTGTGGTGGTGCGCCTGTCGTCCAGCTACTTGGAGGCTGAGGCAGGACTATCGCAGGCCAGGGGCGGAGGTTTTTGCAGAGGTTGCAGTGGCCCAGGTGCACCTCTGCACTCCAGCCTGGTGACAGAGCAAGACTTGATCTCAAAAAAAAGAAAAAGAAAAGAAAATTAAAATAGTCTCGCTGGGCATGGTAGCTCATGCCTGCAATCCCCTTTTTAGGAGGTCAGGAGCTTGAGACCAGGTTAGAACCCCATTTCTACAAAAAAATACCAAGCGAAAATTAGCTGGGTGTGTGCTTTGCCTGTAGTCCCAGCTACTCAGGGAGCTGAGGTGTGAGGATCACTTGAGCCCAGGAGATCAAGGCTGCAGTGAGCTGTGATGGCGCCACTTCACACTCCGAATCTGGAGTGTTGGGTGAGACCCTGTCTCAACAAACTAAACAAACAAACAAAAAAATCTTATATTTACATCACTCCAAAACTAATCACAAACTGTGGTCAGCTTCTAAGGTAGAAACGCTCTGCAACAGAGGGGAAGGCCCTGGGTGGACAGACGGCCACACCACTTAGAACCTCAGAGACTTTAGAACAGAGAGAGGCGCTCACAACGCACTCTCCCTCTGCCGTCTCTCACCCCCTCATCTGTCCACACAGGTCAGCCCAAGGCCACTCCTCGGTCCTCCATTCCCGCCATCCTCTGAGGAGCTCAAGCCAACAAGACCCGCTGATGTCTCATGAGTGACTTCTATCCAGGAATCTTGGCGGTGACCTGGAAGGCAGATGGTACCCCATCACCCAGGGCGTGAGGCTGACCCGCCCTCCAAACTGAAACAACAACAAGTCTGCTTTGACCAGCAGCTACCTGAGCCTGGCCTTGAGCAGTGGAGTCCACGCCCAAGCTACAGCTGGAGTCATGAAGGGAGCACCGTGGAGAGAAGACAGTGACCCCTGCAGAATGTTCGTCAGTTCCCAACCCTCACCCCACCCACAGGGGCCTGGAGCTGCAGGATCCAGGGAGGATCTCTGCATCCCAAGCCATCCAGCCCTTCTCCTGTACCCAGTAAACCCTCAACCGACATCCTCACAGGTCAACTTAGAAATCCTGCTTTACTCTCTTCATTTCTTATCTCTCCTTATGATTTAGTCTTCTCCTGGATTCTCAGTGTGGCGTTGGGGAATCACAGCACCAGTGGGAAAGTAACCTGGAGGAGATCTGGCCTCCCGGGGTGTCCTGGGGAAATAAACCAGGATAGGAGGAGTGGCTCACTGAACACGGTCCCTCCATTCTCTCCCTCCTTCCCTTCACTCCTTGCAGCTCAACCCCGACTTGCCTAGCACCTGGAGGGAGCTATTTCTGGCTGAGCCTCCAGATATGCCCTCTGTCCCCATCCTGGTCTGGACCCTCTACCCATCCATGGCTCTCTTTCCTCAGCCTGGAAATCCTACTCCTGGAGCTGAGCCCCTCTGCTTCTGGCCCTGGCCCTGGAATGCCACTCCTTCTCTGCAACTCTCCACCCCTGAGTTGGACTGTCCCAATCCTCAACACCATCAATTTCGTGAGCTCTTACACTTTGGGGCCCCTTTGATTTTTCACCTGACAGCTGGTTCAGATGTGTGAGAAAAATAGGAGGAAGCAAGGAAGGAAACACACATAAAGGCACACAGAGGCTCGGGACACTTGCAAAAGATAGGCTCAGAGCTCCCCAGGAACCAGTGCAAGAAGGGTTAATAGGTACTCCATCATTTCTATCTTTCTTGTTTTTTTTTTTTTTTTTTAGATGGAGTCTCACTGTGTCGCCCAGGCTGGAGTGCAATGGCACTATCTTGGCTCACCATAACCTCTGCCTCCACGTTCAGCAATTCTCCTGCTACAGCCTCCTGAGTAGCTGGGATTACAGGTATGTGCCACGTACCCAGCTAATTTTTGTATTTTTATTAGAGATGGGGTTTCACCATGTTGTTCGAGCTGGTGTGCAGCATCATGTTTCTAGAGATTAAACAAGTCTGCTCGAGGAAGTTGGTGTTTTCAATGCTGAAGAATAGGCATCTCTTCATAATTAAAAGTGGGGATGTGTTTTACCCAAGGCCTCACTACTGATGGGATTGGAGGCTCTGACATGTGCACAGGTGATGTTACTCCTGGCAGCCCTAGGACATGGAGATTTTCTCGGGATGCTTGGCACAGAAAGTCACTGGCCATCTTTGGAGGAAGCATCATTTTTGGGAAACACTTCTCCATTGGATCTGGGCATCAGCTGGAAAACCACGTCCTGTGTTGAGAATTTCTCTAGGAGGCTCCTGGGTCTGGGAATCAAGCTGCTCTCTGAGAAGAAGGTGTGGGGGTAGAGAACATGGCTGATCACACCCAGCCCCTCCTGCATGGTTTCTGCTGAGCAAAATTGTTAGAGGTGGGGGCACCAGCAGTGGTCAGGCCTGTGTTTGCGGGTGGGGCCAGGGAGGGGACCCTCCACAAGGGACATCTAGGGAGTCTCTCCCATGGCTCTGTTTCAGCTTTGCTGTGGCTGCTGCCAATGCAAATGATCCTAGTGGGAAGCAAACATCACACCATGATTCCCTGGTCTGGAGTCGGGCGTCAGAATGGTGTAGAAGTGCTAAAATCAGAGGTGCCAGCAGACTGGAAGGCTCCTTCTGGGGAGCTCTGGGGAGAATCCATTTCAGGATTTGCAGCTAGAGGATGCCTGGGCTCCTGGCCTGAAACCAGAGCCAGCATCTTAAATCTCTCTCCTCTTCTCTCTCTCTCTCCCCCACCACCTTCTCTCATCTCTGTCCTTCTCTCACTTCTCTCTCCCTCCCCCACCACTCCTGCTCTCACTCTATTCCTCCTGCCTCCTTCTTTCCCTTATAAAGACCCACGCTTGGCGAGGCCTGGTGGCTCACGCCTGTAATCCCAGCACTTTGGGAGGCCGAGGCGGCGGATCACAAGGTCAGGAGATCGAGACCATCCTGGCTAACACGGTGAAACCATGTCTCTACTAAAACTACAAAAAATCAGCCGGGCATGGTGGCAGGTACCTGTAGTCGCAGCTACTTGGGAGGCTGAGGCAGGAGAATGGCGTGAACCCAGGAGACAGAGCTTGCAGTAAACAAGGTGCGCCACTGCACTCCAGCCTGGGCGACAGAGCGAACTGTCTCAAAAAAAAAAAAAAAAAAGAAAGAAAAGACCCCACCTTGGACCCACCCAGATAACCCAGGATCATCTTCCACCTCAGGCGCCTTCACGTCCTCACATCTGTAAAGTCCCTGTGGCCACCTGGCGCCCCACCCAGCACAGACAGGTCCGGGACTGGGACTAGCCATCCTGGGCCTAATTCAGCCACCCACAGCTCCTTTCCCTCCTTCCTCTCTCCTCCGGAGTATAAGAAAAGGTGCAGAGAGGTTGGTTGCGGGAAGTCAGACCCCAAACAGAGGGACCGGCTGAAGCCGCAGCAGAAGAACATAAGTGCGAAGATTTCATGGACATTTATTAGTTCCCCAAGTTAATACTTTTATAATTTCTTATGCCTGTCTTTCCTGCTATCTCTGAACATAAATTGTGAAGATTTCATGGGCGTTTATCACTTTAATTAATATATTGTGATTTCTTGCCTGTCTTCAATCTCTTAATCCTGTCATCTTCATAATCGGAGGATGTATGTCGCCTCAGGATCCTGTGATGATTGCGTTAACCTTTGAAATTATTTAAAACAATGAAATCTGAGCACCTTGAAAAAGAACAGGACAACAACGATGTTCAGGGAGCAGGGATCTGTGTTAGGTCCCGTGCCTGAGCCAGGTGGAACAGAACCATATTTCTCTTCTTTCAAAAACAAATGGGAGAAATATCGCTGAATTCTTTTTCTCAATGTGAACATTCACGAGAAAGAATGCACTTCTAGGCCTATTAGGGCGAGAAATTCCCACCTAACAAATATTGGTCAAGACAGGTTGTCTGCTCTCCATCCCTTTGTTTCCTGATAAGATGTTATCAATGAGAATGCCTGCCCGAAACTTCATTAGCAATTTTAGTTCCCGCCCCCATCCTGTGATCTGCATCTACCTCCATTTGCCTTGTAATATTTTATTACCTTGTAGAAGCCTGTGATCTTGTGACCCACCCTATCTTCCTCCCTCCACGTTTGAAAATCACCAGAAAAAACATGGTTTTGCTTCAGGAGTCATCACAGAACCTGCCGACTTGTGATGTCTCCTCCCGACACCTAGCTTTAAAATTTCTCTCTTTTGTACTCTTTCTTATTTTCAGACTGGCTGGCCTTTAGAAAGAGCCAAAGGACCCATTAAGTCATAGAGTGGTATCCAAAATGAGGTGCCAGATCTGTGGCCTTGAACAACTGAACTCTCTAAGCCTTTGTTTGCTCATCTGCTGTGATCACTGAGCTGGGACTGTTTCAGGCCCATGCAGTCTCACCCTTGAAAGTTTAATGTTGAATGAAGGAGGAATTTTAAAATCCACATAAAAAACATTGTGTTTTGTTTGTTTTGTTTGTTTTTGAGATGATCTCACTCTGTTGCCCAGTGATGCAGCATTATCAGCTGAGGCTCCTTGCCAACCCTCCTCCTGGGTTCAAGTGATTCTCCTGCCTCAGCCTCCCAGTGGCTGGGATTACAGGCATGTGCCACCATGCCCAGCTGTATTTGTATTTTTAGTAGAGATGGAGTTTTGCCAGTTTGCCCTGGCTGGTCTCAAACTCCTGACCTCGGTAAACCCACCTGCCTGAGCCCTCCCAATGTGCTAAGATTACAGCTGTAATTTTCATTTGGCATTTTCTTAAAATATACTAATCTACAATGTCCTCCCCCCTCCATGCTTGGCTTCTACCTTTACCTTCTGATAGCGATCATCTTGTGGGGATCAAGATTCTCCAAGGATTACATTTGGCCCCACATTGAGCAGTTATGGACCACCCAGAAATTATGATTTCCATCTAAATTTACATTTCTTAAAATGTATACAATGGGACTGTTCTGAGGGTTAAATGAGTATGCCACAGTTGCAACACTGTCAGGCATGTGCCACCAGATGTTGGCTGTTCATCCTTATCCAATGAGGATAATGGTACCCCCACTGTGGGAGTTCTCAATTTTGTATAAGAAGATGAGCTTTATGATTTGTTAGTGAAAATGTCTAGGCCCAAGGTGTGATGGCTCACGCCTGTAATCCCCTTTGCTGGGGAGGGGCGAAGGCGAGATGGATCACCTCAGAGTAAGAGTTCAGGAACCAGCCCTACAGTATGTCATTGAACCCTCCATCTCTACTAAAAATACAAATATTAACCAGATGTGGTGGTGTGTGCCTGTGGTCCAGCTGCCAGGCTGAGCGAAATCAGCAGGCCTGAGGTGGAGGTTACAGTGAGCAGATAAGTCCTGCCTCAGGCCTAGTCAACAAATGACCTCCTCTGAAAAGAAATAAATAAATAAGTAAATAAAAGAAATATCTGAATACCCCTGCCATGGAAAGAAGAAACAGAGGGGGAGAAAGGGAGTTGGTGATTCTAGCATTACAGAACAGGGAAGGATGTGTTCGTCTATTTTATAGACCAGGAGGAAAGTGTTGATGTGTCCCAGGCTTTATTCAGTACAGCCATGACTCTCTGTTCAGAGCAGGACCAGGAGGAGCCTGAGAGCAGCTAGTCAAGTTGCAGACAAGAACCCTTGTAAGATGGAAAAGCATTTAGTTAGAAAAGCATTCATGTTTTGTATCTTCATTTGGTGACAAATGAAAGCTGTCAGACTCTGAAAAACAGAAATGCTGGTGGAACTGACTTTAGTAACTGGGCTTCTTCTTCCTCCCTTCCTCCCTTCCTCCTTCCTCCTTACTCCCTTCACTTCATCTCTCCCTTTCTTTCTTTCTTTTTCTTTTTCTTTTCTTTTCTTTCTTTTCAGACCGGTTCTGCCACCTGAAGCTGGTGCAGGCGTGATCTTGGCTCACTGTGCTCTCGCCTGGTTCAGCAGTTCTCTGCCTCAGCTTCTGAGTAGCTGGGAGTACAGATCACCCGCCACCATGCAGAGCTAACATTTTGTATTTTAGTAGAGATGGGGTTCCACATAGAGCTAATGTTTTGTATTTTTAGTAGAGATGGGGTTCACTATGGTAGCATTGAGCTGTTCTTAGACTCCTGACTCGGTGATCCACCACCCCACAGCCTCCCAAAGTACTAGGATTACAGAAAGAATGACCCTGTGCCTGGCTGTACCAGGGTTTGTGGGGTTTTTGCCGTGCAACTTCCTAATAACAACCCCCTGCCACTTTTCTCAGGACTGGAAAGCTCAGGCAGCCCAGGTGAATAAGCCTGAGTAGTGCAGTCGGCACAGAGGGCAGGAGGTGGCCTGAGACAGGCAGCAACGGGATGGGCATTGTGAGACGCCGGGCAGAACTTGGGGCTGGACATTGTGAGTCACTAGCCTGGCCTGGCTGGTGTTTCATGGTAACCAGGTGACATAGGAAGCTTTGTGGGTTATAGGCATCAGCCAGGGCCAGCAGCCCTCAGTCGTACTTCAGGAGGAGGAGGAGCTCGGCTGTGCTGTGTTAGCAATTTTTGTACCTCCGGTGCTTGTCGTGTGTTTTTCTTTTTTTGAAGTAAAACAGCAGATCCCCGACCTCATGAGCCCAAACTGAGATTGCAGGAGGTAGTGGCAAATTAAGGAGCTGAGGCTTTGAGATCTGCCTAAGTCAGCTGCTTCTCCCAAGTGCTGTGCCAGCTTCTCATTAGTGTGGCTGCTGAGCCACTTTACCGTTTCAGAGGAGTTCATCAAAGCTCGAAACAATTTCAGAAGCTGCTAGATATCATGAGAATATCAGCTGAAACCTGTTCTTATGCCGCCCCAAAGTGTGGTTCTTCCACCTGGCTGTACAGAGGCAAAGGCAACATCCCTTATGAATTTAGATTTTTATGAGGCTGTGGCTGCTACAAAATCAGAATCCACTACTGTAGAGCCTGGCAAGCTGGATGTGGGAGCCACGGAGGGCCACGACCTGCAGCACATCAGCCAACCAAAAAAGATGCCCACAGGTAAAAGCCATGGGGGTTCATTTGCTCTCTGGCACACCTCTGGCCACCTCTTGTCCACACCTCATCACAGAACATCCTCAGCTGCCAGCTCCCTCTTGCCATAGCCACCCTTTCCCAGAGGTCTGACATGAGATCAAGGTGCAGCTCTGCCCCCTGCTATCTGTGATCACTGAGCTTTTTGATCTAGTCTCTTCCTTTTCTCAATAGTTCATCCCCAGTTTTGGAGTCCCATCCATTCTCCATTATGCCTTATCAGCTGGTTTTTCGTACCTAAATGAAGGAACAGGTAAGGGCCAGATTGTTTCTTTTCTCCCATCCCTTTAGGTAGCTAATAATTGGGATAATTCAGTCCCAAATATTTGAATTTGTTTGTTTAGATGAGTCTCACTCATTGCCCAGGCTGCAGGAGTGCAGTAGCGCTGATCTTGTCACTGCCTCACCTCCTGGGTTCAAGCGATTCTCCTGCCTCAACCTCCTGAGTGGCTGGACTACAGGTGTTCACCTCCTGCCTAATTTTTGCCTTTTTTTTTAGTACCGGCGGGTTTCACCATGTTAGCCAGGATGGTCTCTATCTCCAGACCTCGTGATCCACTTGCCTTGGCCATCCAAAGTGCTGGATTACCTTGCGTGACCACCACGCCTGGCCAGGGAATTCCTAAATTCCAGTATAAATTATTGTTTTATTTTTGAGACAAGGCCTGCTTTGTATCCAGTGCATGGTGCAATCTGGCTCCACTGCAACCCTGACCTCCTCCCAGGTTCAGGTGTTCCCCCACCTCAGGCTCCCAAGTAACTGGCACTAAGGCATCATGTCAAACTCATTTTTCTATTTTTTTTGTCGAGATGGGGTTTTGCCATGTTGCCCAGGCTCAGTTCACTTTTTGTGGCCAAGGGCCCTCAAATGTTTGATCACCTTCATTTGACAAGTGCAGGCCTCGCTATTAAAAACCTTGCTGTGTCTTGTTTGGAAACATAATTTTTATTTATTTATTTTTATTGTTATACTTTAAGTTCTAGGGTACATGTGCACAACATGTGCAGGTTTGTTACATATGTTTACATGTGCCATGTTGGTGTGCTGTACCCCGTGCTCATCATTTACATTGGGTATATCTCTAATGCTATCCCTCCACCTTGTCCACTCCCCACAATGACCCCAGTGTGTGATGTTCCCTTCCTGTGTCAAGTGATCTCATTGTTCAGATTCCCACCTATGGTGAGAGACATGCGGTGTTTGGTTTCTGTCCTTGTGATAGTTTGCTGAGAATGATGGTTTCCAGCTTCATCATGTTCACAAAGGACACACATTCATCCTTTTATGGCTGCATAGTATTCCATGGTGTATGTGCTACATTTTTCTTAATCTAGTCTGTCAGTGATGGACATTTGGGTTGATTCAAGTCTGCTACTTGTGAATAGTGCTGCAATAAACATGCGTGTGCATGTGTCTTTATAGCAGCATGATTTATAATCCTTTGGAGTATATACCCAGTAATGAGATGGCTGGGTCAAATGGTATTTCTAGTTCTAGATCTTTGAGGAATCGCCACACTGTTTTCCACAATGGGTGAACTAGTTTACAGTCCCACCAACAGTGTGGTGTGAAACATAATTTTTAAAATGTAACTAAAGAGAATACTTGGATTTGTGGTCACTTGCTTATATGATAAGACCAGTTTTCTTTGTAAGAATTTTCAGGGCTGGGCACGGTGGCTCATGCCTGTAATCCCAGCACTTTGGGAAGCTGAGGCGGGATGATCACGAGGTCAGGAGATCAAGACCATTCTGGCCAACATGGTGAGACCCCGGCTCTACTAAAAATGCAAAAACTAGCAGGGCGTGTAATCCCAGCTACTTGGGAGGCTGAGGCAGGAGAATTGCTTGAACCAGGGACTCAGAGGTTGCAGTGAACCAAGATCACACCACTGCACTCCAGCTTGGTGACGACAGAAGACTGTGTTGTAAAAAAAAAAAAAAAAGAAGAAGAATTTTGGTAAATTTTTTTCAGTGAAACCATATGAATATACTTTTGGTTTTCCTTTTTCAAAAGATTAAGTAATTATTGATTCCATTTTTAAAATAAATATAGGCCTATTCGAATGATCTATTTTTCCCCAGAAGACTTTTGGTCTTCTAAATAGATAAAGAGTTAGCTCATTTCATCTAATGGATCAAATCGTGGGCATAGATGTGTTCAGAATATTCCTTTATTATTGTTTGATTTAACTCCTCTTCAATTGATACTATTAGTACGTTTATAACATCTTTCTTTCATCTATGAGTAGCCAAGGTAGAGGGTTATCAATGTTACTGATGTTTCCCAAAAAGAACTGGCTTTTCCTCAGATGATTTCTGTTTTCTATTCATTGATTTCTCCAATCATTCTTTTTTTTTTTTTTTTTTTTGAGACGGAGTCTCGCTCACTGCCAGGTTGGAGTGCAGTGGCCGGGATCTCAGTTCACTGCAAGCTCCACCTCCCGGGTTCACGCCATTCTCCTGCCTCAGCCTCCCGAGTAGCTGGGACTACAGGCGCCCGCCACCTTGCCCGGCTAGTTTTTGTATTTTTAGTAGAGACGGGGTTTCACCGTGTTGTGAGATGGTCAGATCTCTTGACCTTGTGATCCACCGTCTCGGCCTCCCAAAGTGCTGGGATTACAGGCTTGAGCCACCGCGCCAGGCCTCAATCATTGTTTGCTGAGTTTAGATTATGAATCTAGATTTTCTCATTATTGACACCGCATCATGAATGTAGCTCACTGAATTCAATTTCACTGAAACGTACACTAAATAACTAAAATAATATGTATGTTTCACCCCATTTAAAAAGTAAAACAGGATAGGCCAAATAAATGTGGCGCAGGATATGTAAATCAGAGAGAATTAAATGGTCTTGTAACATTTTGAAAAATGAGGGGATTGGCCTGGACAGCTAAATGGGCAGGAGGTGTGATGAAACACAGTCTCATGAACCATGCAGTGACTTTCTGTAATGTATTTTTTAACACGAATATTTCTCACATTGGTTGGCTGCCTAGCTAGAAAGCCAGGCTCTTTTCGTTTCTTTTCTGTTTCTCCCTTTGCCTTCCTTCCGCCAAGAAGAATGGTCCAGCAGCAGCTCAGTCCCATGCTTGGCCAACCACCCACCTCCATACACTCCAGCCCGGTTCCACATCCCCCAAGGCTCCTTGGGATTCCTCAACACTGACTGTCATCGTATGTTCTCTAGTTTATGTTCCAGACCTGGAGGGTGTGACCTTGATATTCTGGAAAATAAGATGTTACCTGACATGGTAAGATGCATTCCTTCATCTGGAAGAGAAATGTTCTTTTTCTGAGGCTTCTTCCCTTATTAATGAAATGAAGATATAAAAATCTGACCATGTACATAACAGATGACTAAGACAATTTTCTTGGGGGCAATATCAAGCGAATACATCTTTGATTGCCATTGTCAATCAAGCCTCAGTTGGTTGTGGGCTCCTAGCGACTAGCCATTTGAGTTTATGACCAACTGAGGCCTGATTGGCGATGACAGTGAAAAAATGACAGCATCACCTACAACTGTCTGGTAGTGAGCTTATTTCTTGTCGTAACTTTTTCTTCTTGCAAAATATTTGTGTGCCAGCCAACTTGGACTTGCAAATATTCATGAAAACCCATTGCATATTTCACAAGCATTTCTGTGCTGCCTGGGGGCCAGTGACTTAGTTACTGTTTGACATGTGATTTTCTAATGTACCAGTGAATAAAAGACCTGTGCAAAGCGGGACCCAGCATGATCGACTCCTTATGGCATTTTCTTTTCTCCTGTGCAGATGAACTACTACAGCCCAAAATTCCTACTGTAAGTATTATTTTTTTATTATTAAAAAAGCTTTATTGAGACATAGTTGATATGCAAAACAATTCACCCATTTAAAGTGGGTGATTCAGTATATTTGTTTTGAGGCACTCAAAGTGTTTTTACTGTATTTGCAGGTTGTGCAACCATTGTTACAATCTCATTTTAGAACCTTCTCATTCCCCCTCAAAGAAACCCCATATCCGTTAGTAGTCAGTCCTCCTCTCTTTAACCCCTACACCTCTGTTCTGGGCAGCCACTCATCTACTTTCTATCTCTGTAGATTTGCTCTCACTGAATCATACAGTGCCTTTCTGTGTTAAGTGGCTCTTAATGTTAATATTTCACATTAGTTAGGTTACCCTAGCTTCACAAAGCGGCTCTTTCATTTCTTTCTGTTTCTCCCCTTTGCCTTCCTTCCACGCCAAGAAGAATGGTCCAGCAGCAGCTCAGTCCATGCTTGTCAACCACCCACCTCCATACCTCAGCCCCGGTTCACATCCCCCAAGGCTCCTTGTAGGATTCCTCAACACTGACTGTCCTCTCGTATGTTCTCCTAGTTTGTGTTCCAGACCTGGAGGAGTGTGACCTTGATATTCTGGAAAATAAGATGTTACCTGACATGGTAAGATGCATTCCTTCATCTGGAAGAGAAATGTTCTTTTTCAGAGGCTTCTTCCTTATTAATGAAATGAAGATCATAAAAATCTGACCATGTACATAACAGATGACTAAGACAATTTTCTTGGGGGCAATATCAAGCGAATACATCTTTGATTGCCATTGTCAATCAGCCTCAGTTGGTTTGTGGGCTCTGGCGACCAGCCATTTGAGTTTATGACCAACTGAGGCCTGATTGGCATTGACAGTGAAAAATGGCGGCATCACCTACAAACTGTCTGGTAGTGAGCTTATTTCTTAGTAACAACTTTTTCTTGCAAAAATAATTTTGTGTTGCCAACCAACGGACTTGCAAATATTCCATGAAAAACCCATTGCCTTTTCCACAAGCATTTCTATACTTTACCTGAGGGCCAGTGACTTGATTACTGTTTGACATGTGGTTTTCTAATGTCACAAGTGAATAGACCTGTGCAAGGACCCAGCATGATTGGATCCTTATAGCGTTTTCTTTTCTCATATGCAGATGAACTATACCTTGAAAATTCCAACCGTACGTATTTTTTATTATTAAAAAAAGCTTTATTGAGACATAGTTGATATGCAAAACAATTCACCCATTTAAAGTGGGTGATTTTGATATTTTGTTTGGGAACTCAGTGTTTTTACTGTATTTGCAGGGTTGTGCAACCATTGTTACAATCTCATTTTAGAACCTTCTCATTCCCCTCAAAAGAAACCCCATATCCGTTAGTAGTCAGTCCTCTCTCTTCCCAACCCCTACACCTCTGTTCCTGGGCAGCCACTCATCTACTTTCTATCTCTGTGAATTTGCTCTCACTGAATCATACAGTGCCTTTCATGTTAGTGGCTCTTAATGTTAATATTTCACATTGGTTAGGTTGCCCTAGCTACAAAGCCAAAGGCTCTTTATTCTTTCTGTTTCCCCTTTGCCTTCCTTCCACGCCAAGAAAATGTGGTCAGCAGCTCAGTCCATGCTTGTCAACCACCCACACCTCATACACTCCAGCCCCGGTTCACATCCCCAAGGCTCCTTGTGGGATTCACTCAGCACTGACTGTCACTCGTATGTTCTCTGGTTGTGTTCCAGACCTGGAGGTATGACCTTAGTATTCTGGAAAATAGATGTTACCTGACATGGTAAGATGCATTCCTTCATCTGGAAGAGAAATGTTCTTTTTCTGAGGCTTCTTCCCTTATTAATGAAATGAAGATATAAAAATCTGACCATGTACATAACAGATGACTAAGACAATTTTCTTGAGGCAATATCAAGCGAATACATCTTTGGTGCCATTTATCCAATCAAGCCTCAGTTAGTTGTGGGCTCTAGCGACCAGCCATTTGAGTTTATGACCAACTGAGGCCTGATTCGTGATGACAGTGAAAAATGACAGCATCACCTACAAACTGTCTGATAGTGAGCTTATTTCTTAGTAGCAACTTTTTCTTCTTGCAAAATAATTTTGTATTTGCCAGCCAACTTGGACTTACAAATATTCCGCGAAAACCCATTGCCTTTCCACAAGCATTTTCTGCCGCTGCCTGGGGGCCAGTGACGTTACTGTTTGACATGTGGTTTTTCTAATGTCACAAGTGAATAAAGACCTGTGCAAGCAGGACCCAGCATGATCGGCTCCTTATGGCATTTCTTTCTCCTATTGCAGATGAACTATACAGCCCAAAATTCCTACTGCTAAATTATTTTTATTATTAAAAAAGTTTTATTGAGACATAGTTAGCATTTAAAACAAATTCCTCATTTCAAGTGGTGATTCAGTGTTTATATTTCCCGGACTATGCAACCATTGTTACAATCTCATTTTAGAACCCTTTACTGTTCCCCTCAAATAAACCTCATATCCCTTAGTAGTTGCCTCCTCTCTTTCTAACCTCCCTACACCTCTGGCTAAAACCATCATCCACTCTGTTGCAGTAGATTTGCCTACTGTATTCTTCTTCTTCTTCTTTTTTTTTTTTTGGTTCTTTTTTTTTTTTTTTTTAAGTTCTGAGATACATGTGCAGGATGTACAGGTTTGTTACACTGAGTAAAGTGTGCCATGGTGGTTTTGCTGCATCTGTCAACTAGGTATTAAGCCCTGCATGTATTATCGTGAACCTTTAGATGCTCTCCTTTCCCCATCGACAGACCTAGTGTGTGTTATTCTCCTCTCTAACACCATTCATAGTCTAAGACCACTCCCTTTTGTTGACAAATCTAAGTGATGGTGTGGGGGACTCTCTTGCCTGTTTTGTCTGGAGAGCCTGCCACAGCTTCTGGTTCCTGATAAGAGTGAGGACCTGGAGTGTAGTGTGATAAACAGATGGCTCAGTGAAGAACTGTGATCATCCACTGCAGTCCCTAGGAAACAGCCATATCATTTAGATGGTGTGGGTTTTTGTGTGGGGAGGGTTGGGAGGTAGCTAGGGTGTGAATCCATGTGTAGTGAGTGTGAGTGTGTTTGTGTGTTTTCCCAAAATGTGGCCCGCATGCCCAGCACTGTACAAGTGTCACTTTTCTTGAATTCCTGGCCTATGGTCCTCTCACACCTCAGCCTCAGTCATGTCTTCTAATAAAAAGGAAAGAGAAAACGTCAGCACCACCATACACTTTACATAAATGACCTCTTCTCCCTCACCAACTGTACCTGAAAGTGGTTTAATATCCCTACATAAACAGGCCCCACCTGGCTTCCCCCAGCTGGAGCTGGAAGCCTGGGAGGGAAGCGGTCTCTCCCTCGAGGCCTCGAGAGCCTGTGGGGCAGGTAAGAGGTGAGAGATTTTATGGGATGTGGAGGCCTGTGGAGGAGACAAGCCCGAGGGGTGAGGAGGAATATCAATCCCTAGAGGGGCCTGGGCAGACACTAGTTTTCACTAAACGGTTAATGTTTTGTCCATCATGAACTTTTTTTTTTTTTTTTGACGTGGGGTCTTACTCTTGTCACCCAGGCTGGAGTGTACTGCCATGAACTCAGCTCACTGCAACCTCCACCTCCCAAGTTCAAGCGATTCTCCTACCTCAGCCTCCCAAGTAGCTGGGATTACAGGTGCACATCACAAAGCCCGGCTAATTTTCTTATTTGTAGAGATGGCATTTCGCCATGTTGGCCAGGTTGATCTTGAACTTCTGACCTCAAGTGATCCGCCTGCCCCGGCCTCCCAAAGTGCTGGGATTACAGGCATGAGTGCATAATTAGCCTGTGCCTGGCCTAATTTTTATTTTTAAATGTCATATTAAAATCTCGTTTATCTTGATTCCTGAGATTTCTGGCCCCTCTTAAATTTGGCACCAAGGCCAGCATCTCACTGACCTCTCCCCAGTCCTCTGGGTAGGGCAGGAATGGAGATAGGGGCCACAGAGGATGGTGGCTGCTGTCTCCACAGGGCGCCCAGGCTCCTCCTATCTCCCTCTCCCCCTCCCCCTCCCACCACATATGTGCTGCCTCCACGCCCTTTCCCCCACTGGGCAGGGGCCACTTCCCCAAGCACCAGGTGGTGGGCTCCAGCTGACGTTGTGGGGGCCTTCCCTGGGATCCCTGGGTCACTAGACCTCAGCCAGGGTCACCTCCTAGGACTATTCCCTAGGAAACCTAAGCCCACACAGGGTGCAGGTGCCTCTGAGGGAAAGGCCCTGGGGAGGGCTTGTGGGGGGACACAGTGCAGTCCCTCTCCCTGTGTGACCCCAGTCCCTTCTCTCTGTGTGTGGGGGGAAGTCCCCAGATAAAGCACTGAGCATCCGGGTTCATTTACAACCTTCTGGGTCACAATGGCCTGTTCATCACTGGTGAACTTTATACCCCCAGGTAATAATCACTTCAGGGACAGCACCTTCAATCTCAGTGGCCTCATAGGCAGGTCCTGCTGTGATCCCCATTGTACAAATGGTGATAGAGGCCAGAGAGTTGAGGCCACCCGCCCAAGTCACTCAGCTCATATCACAGAGCTGGCAGAGTTCATGAGTACTGTGGACAATCGCACCAAATGCAATGGATTGGGATAACTAGATCAAGATGTAATTTCACAGAAATAAAGGGAAGGCCTTGTACTTTATTCCAAATATCAACTCTGAAAGGAACCGGATAATAAAGATAGTGTCAGCTCAGCAGCACTAGTGATTGAGAAAGTCACAGGGCTTTAGTTAGTCCAACTCCAGCTCTTCCCTGTCCCTGTCCCCTGAGCTGATGGAGCTGACATGTGCACCTCTGTGGCCTCAGTTTCCCCTTCTGCAAAGTGAGGAGGGTTCCTGATTGGTGAGGGCCTTGCAGCCTGATGCCCACCCCTACAATGGCCGTGGTGAAGGCTTCCACGAGGAAAGCTGACCCTGTGCAACTCCTGCAGTGCCCCCATCGGGGGAGGGTTAAGACCAGTGGGTGCCAGGCTGGGACCGGGGTCTGAGAGTTCTGCAGGTACTTCCAGGCAAGGAGTCCCCATCAGGGTCAGGCTTTGTGCCAGGGCTGAGGTCCTGGAGGAACCAGACTTACTCCAACTCAAGTCCACAAAGGGAGGGTGTCATGTGAGGTGACAGCCACATGTAGTGTGATGCTTGCAGGACAGAGACTGGGACAGGGAAAGCCCAAAGGGTCTACACAGAGGATGAGTGACAGGTGTAGGGGACACCTGGCAGGGGACTCCCAGGCATAGAGTCTCAAGAAGCTCCAAGTGGCCCACAGGGCTGGAGCAAATGAGTCCTGGGGCCAAGGTGGTCTGAGGGCAAGCTAGACAGGTGCCAGGCCCAGACCCAGAGAATTCATCCCTGGGAGACTCATCTGGGGAGTCCTGGAGGCTGTTTGCAGGGAATTGACGAGACCAAACACTTGGATGGGTGGGCAGGGGTGCGAATCCAGAACTAGGGACACCCCAGGGAGGGTGTTGTGGTGACCCAGGCAGTTTGACTGATATGAGGACAGATTCAGGAGAAGGAGGAACAGGAGAGGGAGGAGCAAGGACAACCATGGGTTTTTTTGATAAACAGTTAAGAGAACACTGTGAGCATGTCAGCGCATCCTGTGTTTTAAACAAAATGCCCAAGGGAAGTGGTGGTCTGCAAAGCATCCCAACAAGGCAGCAAGGACTTGGCTTGGTCTCCCCTAAGGCCATCCATTCACTGACTTGCTCATAAAGGCTTACTGGGGGCCAGGCTGGGGGACACAGGGAGGGTGGACCAAACAGAGGGGGACTGTCCAGTCAGGAGGACAGATCATGGCCCATTTTTGGAGCAATAAAGGGGGAGGGGCTCCCCCCTCTGCAGTGTGGGGATGCCAATACTGGTCTCACAGATCAAGCAGCACTGGCTGGTGATGGGTGCCCCTCAAAGTCAGCAGTGTTAGTGGAGAGGAGACCAAGGGCTGTGGAGGGGGGCTCCTGGGGCACATGAAGGGAGAAGCTGACAGACCACATGGTCCTTGTAGCGCACCTTTATCCTCAGATCCAGGAGGAGTCTTTGGAGGGATTTGGGGAGGAGACTGATCATCAGATTTGTGTGGTTCTGATGACAGGCTGGTGTAGACCAGATTAGAGGAGGGAGGCCCAGGGTGGAGAGTGGGGGTAGCCAGGTCCGGGGGAGGTGGGGAGCCTGGAGGAGGCACAGGTTTAAGCCACCAGGGGCCCAGATTGCTGTGAAATGGGCGGGTGAAGCTGAATTGGGGGCAGCAGAGGCTGATGGGGAGTTGCGGGCATTCTCGGGGGCTGCCCGAGGGAGTCTGGATTTCAGAAACATGTATGAAAAATCATAAAAATGTACATTCCTTTTAATCAAACCATTCCACTTCTAGAAACCTGTCTTGGGGAGATAAAGCTTCAGCTAAAAATTCTTAATGTGTGGGAGGCTGAGGTAAGAGAATTACTTGAACCTGGGAGGTGGAAGTTGCAGTGAGCCAAGATTGTGCCACTGCACTCCAGCCTGAGCAACAGAGACTGTCTCCAAAAAAAAAAAAAAAAAAAAAACGTAAATACATTCATGGAGGGAAAAGTGGAAACAGCCTAAATGTCGAACATTAGGGGGTAGGTAAAATAAACTGTTACATCCATGGGAGGGAACATTAAAGATTGAAGATAAGTATGTTTTTGACAACTATAATGACATAATAAACATTTTAAAACATTTAAATATTTGAAACATTTCTATTTTAATTTACAGTAAAGTTTACTCTTTTTGATGTAGCTAATAAAACCTAGTATAATTTTTTAAAAATCATTGACTCACAGAACTATCATGATTGAAATACAGAATATTTCCACCACCACCCTCAAATTTCTCTAAGCACCCCTTTTTTAGAGACACAGTCTCACTCTGTCACCCAGGCTGGTGTGCAGAGGTGCAATCTCGGCTCACTGCAACCTCTGCCTCCTGGGTTCAGGCGATTCTCTCGCCCCAAACACTTGGGTAGTTGGAATTACAGGTGTGTCACCACATATGGATAATTTTTGTTATTTTTAGTAGAGACAGGATTTCGCCACATTGGCCAGGCTGGTCTCAAATTCCTGGCCCCAAGTGACCCACCTGCCTCAGCCTCCCACAGTGCTGGGATTACAGGGGTGAGTCGCTGCTCTCAGCCCTTATGTTCCTCTTATAGTCAAAGCTTTTCTGTACCCCAACCATGGCTGTGGTGTGGCTGTGGTGTGTGTGGTTTGTGGGTGTGTGTGTGGTGTGTGGTTGTGTGGTGTGTGTGGCGTGGTGTGGTGTATGTGGTGTGTGGT